CTGGATTTGACCTCAAGTCTTCCTGGTTCCCAGTCCAACATTGTCTACATTATGTCACCCAGCTACCTGATGTTAATAATTATAATGATAATGATAATAGCTAGCATTTATAGAAAATGCAAGAACTGTGCTAAGCACTTTTCAGTTATTATCTCATTTGGTCCTCAAAACAACTCCAAAAGGTAGATGCTATTATTGGCCCCATTTTACAGATGAGCAAGCTGAGGCAAGCAGATGTTAAGTGATACACACTCATTAAGTATCTGAGGCTGGATTTGAACTCAGGTCTTCCCAAGTCCCAATCTTGGTGCTCTACCCACTGTGCCACCTAGCTATCCTGAATATTAGCTACTATTATTGCTATTGATCAGTGAAGAATATTTCTGGGTTTAACCCGAAGAAGTCAGTTTTGTTTCTTGCCACCAGGAATAAATAAAGACCTAGCACTCCATGTGAAAACTTTCCAACTTGATAAGATTTGTCAAAGCTTACTTTTTACTGGCATAGCCTTTGAAAAGTCTAGTATAACCAGTGCCACAATATGTGAATAACTCACAATTTGTAAGTGACTTTACTATTTTCAAACTCTTAAGTTCATAATATCATTTGATCATTACAGTTTCCCTGTGAGATAGGCGCTCTTCTTATGTGAGGCTAAAAGTGACTTGCTCAAGACCTTAGAAGGAATAAATGTCTCAAGCCATTTCAGACCTTAGTTTTCCTGACTACAATGTCAGCAGTAAAACTGTTACACCAAGCTGCCTTCACTATCTTCACCTTGATCTGTCTTCTGTAAGCAGATTTCTCCTAGGCTAAAATCCAAACATTTCGAGAAAGATGGTTACCCAATCTGTTATAGCTGCTTTTTGGGGGTGGGTTAGGAAAGAGGGTTGGAGTCTTTGTGAAAGGTGCAAACCAGCAATAATGCTAAAAGTATGGGAGTAAAGGGGGGGAGACACCTGAAAAACACAAATAATACAAATGGATCTCTAGGGGAGTAGAATTCATTCTTAACTTGGTCACTTGGGGAGTTCAAGCTTTGGTTGAGATGATATTGATTCCATGGCTAAAAGAGGAAGAAATCAATAATTTTGCAGAAGGTTGTCCTCTGGACTTGATGCCCTCTTCATACCCCTGTCATTTTCCCCTAATTTGGTATGAGTATACCTGTGTTAGTCTTCCCCAACAGGGCAGAATATTTTTTTTGGGGGGGTGTCACATGATCTCACCTGTTTTGATTGTTTTCTTACTTCTGACATTCCAGGAAGATAGGTCCTAACTAGTTAGGGAGTTGTAAGCTTCCAGAAAGGGGGAGTCAACGTATGGGGTGGAAAGAAAGGGACTGTGCTTGAAAAGAGCAGGAGTTAAAACCTGTCTATAATGAACATGTCCTGACACAAGAATGTTTAGGCCCTCCAAACCATAGAGGTTTTTGGAATATCACTGTAAAGCAAAAGAAAATCAGTCCTCATGTGGTAACCCACATGATGGGAATATGAGGAGATTCCTAGATACAGAGCTTTAAAGGAATAAAAAATTCATACCACTGTTTAAAATGTCCTCTTCTTCCAGTCCTAGGAAGAGGGAAAATTAATTGGTTCCCCCTTAGTTAACCACAGAGATTGAGTCCTTTCATGACACTTCTATGAATAGATGATACTTAAGTGGTCCATTAATGGGAAGGAAGTTTGAAGGAGTGGCCACTTCTCTGGCAGAATCAGTGGTTCTAATACAACCAATGAAAGGGGAGTGAGGGGCTGCTGAGGAGACGCGACCGGGTAGAGTCCAGAGAAGAATAATCAACTCCTGTTCCCAGGTGCTTTCAATGAGGAGAGACCATAGTGGTTCAAAGAATTCAGTTTCATTATTTGAGCTGCGAGAAGCAAAGGGAACAAATGATAATCTCCCTTTTGACTTTGTCACCACAGATACCGTGAAACCAAACAGGAAAAAAAAAGTCCCCTCAATTCTTCCCTTTTCACAAAGAAGATAGTGCCAGCAGGTAGGTTCCCCAGGGGGAAAGCCTTGCTCATTCATCACTTACAGTTGGCCAAAGTGGCAAATGATTCACCAGCTGTTAGCAGACTATCCAGCTGCCTCGGCTCTGCTTGTATCTTTCTCCCAGAGAAGTCAAGAACAGCAGTCTCCAGGGGGCCTAGGGTTGTCACTGCTGTGTCCTCAGACTCATCACCTGACTTGTCCCAGATTTTGCCTGCTCAGATTTGTACACCTGGGTTTTTGCAAAGGTGGTGATTTATTGCCAGACTGCTGTCTCCTTAATCCTTGTACCCACTTCCTTCATGCATTGTATAAACATACATTAGTCAAATCACCTTATCTTGCTTCTATGTGGCATATTTCTCCTATGCAGTTGAAAAACTGAATTTGGCAATTTTGAGTAAAAAGTCCAATACCTACACTAACTGTATGTGAGCTAGGGAGGTTTGGTATGCTCTGCACCCATTGAGGTTGTTCAGTTATTAGAGTAATTACTATATTGGAAGAGTTATTTACTAGTGAAACCCTGATGAACAGAAAAAAGCTAAAAGAGTTTCCCAAAATGCCAAACTTCTTCCCAGAAAGCAATGTGGCAGACGGGAGATTCTGAATCAACACATATACTTAACATACTCCACAAAGAAACTATCACCAGTTATGGAAAGTAGCCACTTATCTAATATTCGCATTGTGAATTTGGCAATGTGAATTTTCTAAGGCATTAAAACTATACAGAAATTAATGCCCTCCTAATTTACTGTATGGGCTGAGCTTTATTTGCGCTGTTAAATTTTCTTTTAAGGTGGTAATAGGAAAAAATACATCTAAAAGCAAACATGAAAGGATGAAGATTTGATTTTATATTTAATAACCATCAGCCTTTTCGTCCTCAATGCTACTAGATGAATGAAAGGCAATATAGTAGAGTGGAAAGCCCAGTGGATAGGATGTTAGATGGACTTAGGTTCAAATCATGGTACTTCCATAAACTTTGTTAAGTATTTTCATCTTTCTGGGCCCCAGTTTATTCATATGGAAAATGAAGGGATTGGACTCGTTGGAGATTGGATCTCTAAGGTCTTTTATATCTAGGGCTATGATCCTAAGTAAATAAATAAACATGGGAGACACTCTTGTCTATTTGAATGTCAGGGATTCAAACTCACTGACGTATAGAGATTGCTCTTTCATGCTCGTTGCTACGTAGGAAAGATCCTTTTTTTTCTTTTAGACAAATCTAAAAATTATTTTGCATGTTGAGATATGCAGAGAAAAATACAGGAAACTATGTTTCATCTATACCCAAAGTCTATGAAACTCTGCATATTCTTTGATCTAGTAATAATACTAGGTCTGTATCCCAAAAAGATCAAGGAAAAGGGAAAATGACCTATTTATTAAATAAATATGTGTGTGTGTGTGTGTATATATATGTATATATATTCATATATATATATGTATATATATATTTATAGCAACTCTTTTTGTGTTGACAAAGAATTAGAAATTTAGGCGACATTCATCAATTGGGGAATGGCTAAGCAAGTTGTGGTAGATAATTGTGATGAAATTCCATTGTGCTGTAAGAAATGATGAATAGGAGAGTTCAGAAAAACCTAGGAAGTTGTAGATTAACTGATGCAAAGTGAAGGGAGAAGAATCAGGAGAACATTGTACACAGAAACAGCAATATTGTAATGATTATCAACTATGAAAAACTTAACTACTCTGAACAAGACAATGACCCAAGACAATTCTAAAGCACCTATGATGAAAAATGCTATCTGCCTCCAGAAATAGAACCAATGAACTTTGAGTGCAAATTGCAGCATACTTTTTAAATTTTCTTTATTTTTCTTGTTTTGTGTGTTTTCTTTTGCAACATGGCTAATATGGAAATGTGTTTTGCATTACCTCACATGTATGTTTTGTTGAGTCATTTCAGTCATTTCTGACTCTTCATGACCCCATTTGTAGTAATCTTGGCAGAGGTACTGGAGTGGTTTGCCATTTCCTTCTCCAGTTCATTTTACAGATGAGGAAACTGAGGCAAACTTGTCCATGGTCACACAGCTAATGTTTGAAGCCAGAATTGAACTCGGGAAGATGAATCTTCCTGACTCCAGACCCAGCACTTTATCCATTGAGCCACCTAGTTGCCCAAAATAAAAAAAAATGTTCTACATTCTTGTTAACTCTAATTAATATTTTGTTCTTTGTGACTCCATTTGGGTTTTCTTGTCAGAGATACTGGAGCGGTTTGTCATTTCCTTCTCCAACTTATTTTAGAGATGAGGAAACTGAGGCAAGCAAGGTTAAGTGACTTGTCCAGGGTCACATAGCTAGTAACTGTCTGAATCCAGATATGATGAAGAAGATGAGTCTTCCTGACTCCAGGCCAGATGCTCTTGTGGATATTATATTTCTTGCCTTCTCAAGAGGTGGGACACAGGCTGGTGGGGGAGAGAATTTGAAACTCAGAATTTTGAAAAAAGAATGTTAAATGTACTAGGAAAATAATGAAACAAAAATATATTTAAAAAAAGAGAAAATGTTTCCTCACTTGAGAGTGGAAAGAGGTAAAGGGAAAGACTGAACTACTGAGAAAATATTTTGTTTTCTATAAGAATGTTATCTATGCTATAATTAATATCAACTTAAGCAGCCTCATTTCTAATTACACTAAGACACACTAAGCATCTTTTTGGGGCTTTGTGTCTGATAAATATGATTTAAAATGAAAGCAAGAGAATAAAGTCCGGTGGTTCTAGGAAACTCACAGCAGAGATGTGTTTCTTTGCTGTTTTTGTTTTTAAATTTTGTAGAAAACTTGGGGGAAGTTCATTTGATTTGGTACATTTTAGTTTGGGTTGCAAACGTGGTAGCACTTTCAAAGATGACTTGAATGTCTTTCTTTTAAACTCGTCCCCAAAGAGTTTGAAACAGACTAGCTCAGCTTCCAGCAATTTAGAAGAATCAAAAAACAAATACTGCAGCAATACAACATCACTTTTAATATTCTTTTACCAGTTCATTGTCTCTTACAGAAAAATGAAAACATTTTTTGATAATACAGATTGGTTTTTGACCTCAGAAATCTTTACTGGAATGCACATTAAAATGCCTTTAAATGCAGGTTTTCATTTATTCGATATTTCCATGGTTTCTGGTTCTTCTTCTTGTTGTTGTTTTTTCCACTTCCTGTGTTGTACACCATTGCTACTCTGGCAGTAGTGAGCTATGATACAGTAAACTTCCCAACAGAAATGTGTCTTATCATCCACTTATTTATCTCTGTGTGTTACATGCTGAAATATGATAAGCAATTCCCTTTCTTCTCCCCTCCTGTAGTGGTCAACTACTCCATGAAACCACCATCTTCTCTGGAGCACTGAAATCAAGAAACTCAATATGGCTGCCAGCAACCAGATTGGAGTCTCCTTTGAGCCAGGGTCTAATTCCCAACAAAATATGCTACTACAATATCACATAAAATAAAACTCTAACAGGTACCTGCCCCTTTTCTATGAGAGAAATTTTAAATTACAAATTCCATATCTGACTAAAAGTTACTGTGGTAAAAGATGGCAGCAGTCATTAAAAGGTGGTATCCAGTGTTAATATGTATGACACACTTTGACTCCTATACCACCCTTTGATGTGATGGTCTATTTTTCCCCATAACATTATTTTGGTTGTTCAAGTGTAAAAAGGACAATGAAACCTGTACATCCACTTTGTTCCTGGTGGGGATGACACGAGTTCCATCAGGATACAATGATCGAAACAATGTTTCTTCAATCCCAGCCTCCCTCCCTAAATCTCAGAACCCTCGTCTAAGGAGCAATTTCAATTTTTGGCAACATTGTACCAAATTTCTGTTAAGAGTTTTACTATGTTAAGTTCCCCTTTCAGGTCTCTCTTCAGTGGGTCACTTCAGGGAAAGAAGTTGAAGAATGGGCATCTAATAGGAAAATTTGCAAGTGGAGAACTTTAGAAAGATCTCATTACTGAATTCAGAGTCCAGAGGGCATGAAAGTGGACGTGCTGCTCAGCAGTAATCATTCTAATGCTTTTGTTTTCGTTTTAAGCAAGAATGAAAAATGGCATGGACACTTGGTATATATTTTAAATAGCTAACAGTCTTTTCAGAGGTTTTGATCAGCACCAATTCCTGTACTAGTAAGTTTATTCAAAAGTTAAGAAAGGTTACTAAGCTTTAACATTATAAAGGTAGACTGGAGCTCTGCAGCAATAGCTGAAAACTACATGCCTGTTCCTCTAGAAATTTCTTTCATACTTTCATTCCTAATAAAGTGCTTGCAATATAGGTGATCGCTCTGTATTAAGGGCTCCTTCCAATGAGTTAACCCCCTTAATCAAAATGAGAGAGATGATTATTTCCCTAATTGCCTGAAGACTTTTCTCCTTTGTGAGACATTTAATAGGGCAGGATAAAGATCAGTAGGTCCTGCCTTTTTAAAAATAATCTATTTGTTTTATCCTAGAGCATTCAGGTCTCTCTAAGCTTAGGAGTGTGAGTCTAATTTCTAAGTTAGACAGTAGTATTTGGATTATAACTCACAATCTCTTTGGATGTATATGTCTTTTACATGTTGTATATCTAGACTATTTTTTAAAAATTGTGCATGCATACATTGCCCTCTTTCAATATTACAGCATCTGATGATTTCCAGATATCCTAGCTTTTGATGAAGAAAATGATATACTTTTATTTACAGTAGTCTCTCTAGATAATATATGAACTTTTTTATGACTTCCTGGACTCCAATGGTAGTTCTATACCTTCCAGACACAAAACTCTACATTCATAGAATAAATTTATTGGAATTATTACAGAGCTTTAAAATGCAACCACAATCAGTTCAGGAAATAGGTTTATTTACTCATGGCCATGGGAAAGAATCTACATGAGAACATTCATGAAAACATACCAGCTGTGGCATACTTGGATCACACTATTAAATAAATCCCATTTATCAGAACTAGTTATGGAAACAATGGGAAATTGAAATGTAACTTAAGTACAAATATTGGTCCCTGTGGGTTCTCAATGCTCTTCAAAAAATAAAATAAAGTAAAGTAAAAGGGAGAAGGGACAGAATTCTAGTTTCTGTTTTGATTGAAACTGTGAATATATAAACATCTTTTTCTCAACCCAGATCCTTTAAAGCCCTGAAGATTTCTTGAAACTGTGTGATTAACTTTAGCATTTCATTAAGCTTGATGTTGATTTACCAAGGGAAGTGACATAATTAACCATATTGTCAATTTGGAGAGTTTGTCATTGTAGTTTTCTCTTTTTTAAAAATATGGACAGCAAGTGAGGTTTGGTTACCTGTGCTAAAAGAAAGTCCCTTGGGAGCTTGGCAAGCTTAGTTCTTTATGAACTGCAAGTGTTAGCAGTTTTTTTTCCCCCTTCAAACTTTTAAATATTTTCCCCCATGAAATGTATATAAGGAAGACACATTAAATAGTTTAATAATTTCTTAAAGACTATAACATTTCATAGGTTAATATAAAATTGAGCTGCTAAATTTTACATTTTTTTTCTATCCAGCAGTTCATTTATGTAACTGCCCTGAGTAGATATGACAGTAAATGCTTCTTTGCAAACGGCCCTTGGAGTTTAAAGATAATCCAGTAAAGCTACTCAAAAGTTAATAGAACTCTTCTCAGGCATTCTTAATTGGAGTTCGAGGAAAAGAGAGCTCCTTTGTTACTCCATTCCATTCCTCAGCATATCTCCCACAATAGAAACAACTGTTTAAGGGAACTAGCTGTGCTCATTTTCTGTGCAATGTTCTCCATCAGAAAGGTGAGATTTAAAATAGTAAAACAAAACTTGTCTCTTAAGCTTCTAAATACTGGCTTTTAGAAAAGTGTCTATTTGTTCCCTTGTGAAATGGTTTTGTTTTGCAACCTCACAGAGGCCCAGGTTATGAAAAGATGACTGGGCCTCACATCTGCAGATCTGATTGGTTTCTTGTAGTGCATTTCAAAATTGTACAAAGGTGGAAAATTTGTGCTTGTGTAAGCTGCTGCTTTTGAGTAGGCTTACGATTCCTTAATTTAGTTAGTCCTAGCAATCCTCAAGCTATTGCATGCCCCATTCCTGAAAGCATATTTGGTTGGGATGATGTAGCTTAAACAGTTTGGCTCTAAAGCTTCTTTACATAGAGCTTCCATTAAAATTATATTAATTTATAATATATATTGAATGATAGTTTTACAAAAACAAATTAATGTATTGGATTTTTTTATGAAAATGACTTTTTACAGTAAGTAAAAAAGGGTTATCACAGTTTTGGTAAATTGCATGAGTTCATATTGAAAAGAAATCTTTCACATGTTCTGAATGACTTGAAAATGGTGATGCTTTAGGGTACTTTCAGTTGTACGCTCTGAAGCAGTAGACACCGTAGAGCTTGTGCTTTTTATCGGGGAAGCCCGCGAAGCGCACGGCTGCTTCGGTGGGGCTGCAGCGTCTCCTGGGCCGGGAGATGGGGTAACGGACGCTGCCGTCGGCCAGCCAGCCCGCATCGCATCGGTCATAGCCTAGGAGTTTCCAGGCAGCAAACATCTGGCCCACTTTAGCGATCTGAGCACCATCATTGAGACAAGCCTGCACAGCTTCATCGTAGGTCAGCTTGGTTGGGTGGATTAGGTAGTAAAAGCGACCTGTGGAAGGAAGAGGGAAAGCCGTGGGAGCTGGTCAGATACTGGACAGAGACTGAGAAGTTCTATCAGGTTATAAACAGGAGTCAGGCCTAGCAAGATATGGAAGTGTTCCTTAATGAAGAAGTGTTTCTTAATGAAGATGAAGGAGGCACGGTATTGGCCCTGGATGGCTCTGGAACACTGAATAGCTAACTAATTGTAATACCCCTAGGTTACTCTCCATTAATAAGTTTCTTTTTTCCTATCCTGCCAAATGTGTGTTCAGATGTGCCCTTTTAAGAGCAAATGGAAATGACAGATGAAGTTTCAGCTAGTTAATTAGGGACTAAAAGGACCATTATGGGCACTGGAGAGGTTGTGGTACATGCTAAGTATGAGATCTATTTAAATTTGAAGCTATAGCAAGACTGAACTTCAGCACAACTTTCCAGGAAGCAAAATTTGAATATGAAAAAGGATCAAACACATTCTTCCCATTAAAGTTCATTGAAAAAAAATCAAAAGCTCTCCAGGTCTTTTCATTACAGGTATCAAAAAGAGATTATTCTCTTCCTAAGAATACAGTGCAAAAATAAAGATTTAAAGAGACTACTTCAGAAAATACAAAAACACAGGAAGTTACTTGCAACCAATAACAAGTGCTCAGAATGTAAATGCCGATTCATTTTAGTCACAATAAAATGCTTGAATTTCATTTATTCCTCTCTTTCAATTCATTTGAAGCCTGTTAAGAAAACCCTGATACCTAATTACCACTTCTTTCTTCTTCTTCTTCTTTTCCAATAACAAGGATTCTATGAGCTACTTATTGGATAATATTACATTTCTAAGATTCTTTCCTTGAATAAAATATGGCATGAGCTTAAGCACAGGCAGAATAGTTTTAACAGATTTGGCTTGAGTCAGAAGACAAAAGGACTTATACTTAATGAATTTTATCCCAACATCTAAATAATTTAAGTGCGAGTTGAGTCAAATAGATGTTTCTGTTTTGAGACTGCTGTGGTATGATTCTGGGGATGTGAAGTGAGTAGACTGACTGGAATTTTAATTGATGCTTGTTGAATGAATAAATAATAATTAAAAGGGTGGTCTTTATCACTAGTACAGTGCTTTACACATCACAAGTGTTCAATAAATGTGTATTTATTGAAATTGTTGAATCACCTGCATCTTGTTATTTTTCTCCTTACTCCTTGCCTTTTCAATGGCCTAAATGAAAAATAACACAAATAATGGACGGGGACTGGGAGATATACAAACAACAAATTACATTTCTTTCTATGGCAGTATAAGTTTTACAAAACACTTTACTAATGGTGACTTCATGGGGAAGGTAAATATTATTAGTACACTGTTGTAGATGACAACTTGAGAAGTTAAATGATTTGCCTGTGGTCACTCAGCTAATGTGTTGGACTTCATACCCAAATAATATTACCTAGCGTGTTAACAATTCTGATTCAACCACCAGACTTTCAGAAAAATCCCAGCAGCTAGATGAGTTGCTATTGATTCTTCTACAAAGGTAGGCTTTCTGAGGTTGCAAGAACAGCAAGATATAAATAAAAGCAAACACATGAACAGGTGATAACCTTTACTAGGAAGAAAAAAAAAACACTTATCATGGGCAAGATAATTCAAAGCCTGGATTACTAAAGATGGAAAAAAAGTTTGTTTTTGATGATAAAGCTCACTTATTAATTCAAAGCTATATGATAATCATTGTCAGAAGTCCAGGTGAGCCTATAAGATTTGGACATCTTCCCTAGGCTGTACAAATTTTCTAGGGGAGGAGATTATTACTAGTGGGCTGTAGAATGAGGAATTCTCATGAATATTTTGATATTTTTTTCTTTTTCTTTTTGTTTTATGTGAGGCAATGGAAGTTAAGTGACTTGCCCAGGGTCACACAGCTAGGAAGCATCATGTGTCTGAGGACAGATTTGAGCTCAGGTCCTCCTGACTCCAAGGCCAGTGCTCTATCCACTGCATCACCTAAGTGTCCCAATATTTTGATATATTGAGGATCAAAATTGTTCCAGAATTACAGAAGTTCCCTAATGGAGATGGAACAAGGTAACATGACCTTATACCATGACACATCAGAAAAGATTAAGAAATGTATCCAATGGATAAATATAGTTCAATGGACATTTTTACATGATTTAAGTCCCACAGAAAACAGAAAGGGTAAACTTTGAAAAATGAACTTTTATTTAAATGTTCTCTTAATATCCAATGACAAAAGTGTGGTTTTAGGAAAAGGAATTGAAGGATATGTTTTAAAATCTTGTGTACTCATTGACAAATTGTATAAAACAAGAGATTTCAGCAAAAGGAAGAAATGCTGCGCTTTTTTCAATATGTAAATGGTTGTAAGGTTTATCGTATAGGTCAATACAGTTTAATATATTACTTTGTCCCAAGTTGTTCTTACATCATTCTAGTAAGTGGATGATTGGATATTCAAACCAGGTCCTCTGGACCATATTTCCTCTATATGTAAACATCACTATTTAAAATTATGGTTCCATAAAAGAAATGCATGGTCTAATATTTGCCATAAACCTTGGGATCAAAAACTGGATGTTGGTCAGTGGTAAGTTCTTAGTTTATTTTGAATTATTAAATTAAATGACCTCCATAGGATCTAGAACTGGATGAGCTTTTGAAATCACATAATCAAATTCCCCATCTCCATCTTACAGATTGGGTGCAAGATGCTCAGGAAAATGAGTACATAGCTCAGGCGGGATTTGAACCCAAATCTTCAGATTCTAAATCCAGTGCTTTTATATAGGGCTGTGTGTGTATGTGTGTGTGTGTGTGTGTGTGTGTGTAAGTGTGTATGTGTATATGTACATATGTATTCATGTATATATATATATACATATACATATATCCACGTATACATATACACATGAATGTATAATGTATACATGAATATATACACATGCATACATATGCACATATATATGCATGTATATACATACATACACACATATGTTTAAAGACAGGATTTGTGATTTCACTGATACAAGGAAAATCCCTCTACCAGTAGATTAGCACCTTCTCTGTAACTTAAGTGTTTTAGAGTCACCTGGGGCACTGAGAGGTTGAGTGATTTGCCATCTGTAGGACTTGAACTCAGAGCTTCCCGACTCTGAGATTGCCTCTTTATCTCCTACACCTTACTAGTGTTCGTCTACTGTCATAATAATTGCTAAAGTGTTAGTAGGCAGCTAGGTGGCCCAGTGAATAAGTATGGACCTGCAGTCAAGGAGACCGGAGTTCAAATCCAACCTTGGACATTTAACTAGTTTTGTAACTCTGAGCAAGTCACAACCTCTGAGCCTTAGTTTTCTCATCTGTAAAATGAGGGAGAATAGTACCTACCTCAGTGTTACGAGAATAAAATAAGATGTTTGTAAAATGCTTTGCAAAGCTTAAAGAACTATATAAGTATTATTAGTATTGACTCTTACCATTGAAGTTGGATGTAAAACAGAATACATCATATCTGCTTTTATCCTTATCCCAAAATCCGTAATTCCTGACACCAGGCACTGTGTTTCTTCCTCCACAGGGTTCTCTAGGTTTAGTGATAGGATACTGCACAGATCCATCACTGAGCCAGCCAGCATTACACCAGTCTAGCCCTGCCCTCCAAGCATCATAGAGTTGGTCGAAAGAGGCAATCACAGAGTCCTGGTCCAGGCAAGCCTGTTGAGCCTCATGGAAATTGAGATTGTAGCGTCCCAGTCTTGGAAAGTAAGGGAAGACCACACCTGTCAAAATGAGAAGGAAAAAAAAATGTTAATCTGTGTCACCTGAGAGGGCACGAAAACTACAGATTTAAAGTAGCTGAGCAAAAATCTTGGTCATTTGACAAGAACCTTCTCTTTGACAAGTGGCCCTTCAGCCCCAGTGCTAAATTAACTCTGAATTGGTTTTTTAGAGATCTTTAAGTGATTTGATCCCTAAGCCAATGGCTTTCTGCTTAACTCAAGAGCAAGACAATCTTGCTGAAAAAGACTCAGCTTTATGTCGTCCAACCCATCATTGTGCAGATGAGCCAATTGAGACCTTAAAGAGTTGTGAAGTTTGCCTATGGTTGCTCAGTCAACTACTCACAGAGCCAGGATTGAAACTCAAGGATTATTTCCCTTGGTATAGTTGAAACAGCAACAGATTTGTAGCTAGGTGTCCTGGGTTCAGATCATGCCTCTGTGTCTTACTATTCGTATGAGCTTGGGCACTACTATCCTTGTGACCTGAGTGATTCTCCAGGCCTCAGTTCCTTCTCCTATAAAAGGAAAGGTTTGGATTAGATGATCTCTACAGAACCTTCAAGCTAGATATTTTGGATCTGATCGTATGTAATTTAAAACTAAAAAAGAAAAGGACTCAGTTGCATATCACTGACTTCAAAATGCTCCTTATCTACACTTGTTGAGCTTATCCCATGCTAATTACTCACTAAGCCTGTGAAAGATCTCTCCTTGGCACTTTGCATCTGGTCAAAAGCCAATGCCCAGCATCATTCCTGAAAGAATAGGGGTGGGAGAGGGTGGGAGGATGCCTTTGCAGAGAAAGTACTCAATTTTATTTCATAATGCCCTTCTTGGTAATGCTTCTCAGAAAAGCTTCATTTTTCAGACTGCTTCATAAATCAAGGAGTTTGCTAAAGTATTCACATGGGAACACACACCTCTCTTTATATATTAATATTTATGAAAAGTTTCATTTTTCTTTTTTTTAAAGAATGACACTCATAGCGATTGCAGGCATAACTGCCCACAAGCTCTATGCACATCTATGCTTCTATCTTAAACCAGGGTAGGAAATGACTTCCTATATTAGGGACCTTATAGTGGTGAATCCTTCTATAACATGAACAAATATCTCTGATTTATCTTTTTTTAAAAATAAGTTGCATTTTTTATAGGATTTTGTTATAGTAAAGCACACACACACAAACACACAGATATTAAACATTATATGCATCCAACTTTGACCATTATATCTGATACATTCCTAGTGTAGCCTCTAGATTTTTGTTTATTTGTTTTTGTTTTCCCCCATCCGGTAGTAGCTGGGCCTTTCCTACTAAGGGCCACAATATTTTAATATTTCCATTCTCCTTGAAGGTTCTCATTTCCTGGTTATTCATATAACCACTACAGTGATCCAATTTCTTTTCTTTTTCAAAAAAAATTGCAGACAATTACCACAGCTTCCCAAAAGTCACCTTGTACATTCTGGGCTCTGAGCATCTGATGATCAACTGGTCTAATATGGGGACATGTTACTAAGTATTGCAGTGGGCACAGTTTCTCTTCCTTACTTACCAGAATATTATGACTCTTACTTGGCTATGACTTTGAACTGGAAGGAGTAATAGCTTTTAGAAGCCACTAAAATGTTTTCATTTCCTTTACTTAAATAATCAAGGTTGTTTTGAGGATATAATCTTTTTACTTGTGGCTCACTGATTTAATGAGTTGTGACATTATAACCATTTTGAGGTAGTGAAGTCCTGTCATCTTATTTCCAGGTCAAAGAAATACATTAAATGCAATGATTTTTTCTAAAAAACTACTAGAATGAATTACCTTACTTTAAACACAAGAGGCTCTTGACCAATATATAAGGATGGTGGCTAGAAATTTATATTATTAACATAAATTTCAATAACACAGAATTGTTGACTAAACGATTTTAACTAGAACCCAGGTTTATCAGTACAGAGGAATTGTGGGAAAATATCCTTGGATAACTCAAAACTACACACAAAAAAAATTTCCTTACTGTCTTTTCTATTATGGATGCCTGAAAAGTCACTATTCAATGATTTGGGTATAATTTTCACTTTAAGCTGTTGACAGCATAGATCATAGTTACATAATTAGATGGTTCCTCACAGGCCATCAAATCTAAGTCCCCAGTTTTTTACAGATGAGGAAAATGAGTCTGAGGAAAATTAAATGACTTGCCCAAGGTCACACAGGTAGTAAGTATTAGAAGTAGGATTTGATGCCAGATTCTGTGGTTCTGAGCCAGGATCTTTTCAATTTTTCTGTACCATATCCCATTTGCCTACTTGAAAATGAAGGGGGTAGAAAAGGGTTTGGGAAATCACAAGGTACAAGATGGACAATTAAAGCAAAAGGGTACAAAAGGCCTCCTGAAAATATTACTAAGTGTAGTTCTGCTTCCCTCCCCCCCCAATAAAAATAATTGAAAATGTTTTTGAATATATATGGTCTATTTTATTTTGTTGATATTATTTTGTTAGTATATCAACTATGCTATTTCATAAGAAAACCCATACTTTTAAAGACAAATGCAGACTTATCAAAGGTACAACTAGTACAAAAGCAAAATTATACATATATACACATATTTTAATGAGTGGACTCTGGAAGAATATGAAAGAAATCTTAACAGCATTGACCAGGGCCTCTTTTTGGAGGCTTGTAAAACACATCTGTCCCTCTAGGGCAATCTAGTTGGCAGCTTCATCCAGTTGGCCCAGATCCAAGATTTATTCCTGATCTTACCCTCTCTTCTTGGATATGCATTCTGAAAGCTGAATTTAAGCCAGGAGAAGAAGAAAGAGGATCTCCTGGTTCTCACTGACCCCTGGTGGAATAGGGTAGAGGGAGAGATGGAAGATTGTTCAGTCTAATATTGACTCCACTCCAGCATTCATGTATCCAAAATGCCAGTTCTTTAGTTGGTCTTTCCCCCTATCCCTTAGCAGTGTTACTGTCCTGACACTATCCCTCAATCTTCTCCTAACAACTTTTGGAACTTTATCTGAAGATTCTGAAGCAAAGAAAAGAAAAATGCTTAGTTTATAGAGAGATTCTTTGATCTCAAGTACTATAAAGGAACATCTCAGAAAAGCTTGGAGAGTTATTTGGCCCAGCTCCCACTTTCCATCAGACACAGGAATGATGACATGACAGAATGGATGTGACATTATTTCAAAGAAAAGCTTTCATAATGGCTGGAAAACACATTCTGGTTTAGATTCTCTAAGAAAAAATTCTTGGTCACTTTCTGCTGATGTGGATCATGGAAACTCAAACACCTACATTATATCTTTGCTTATGTCGTTCTCTGTGCCTGGCCCCCCTTCCATGTCATCATCAGCTTCTTATATCTTATCCATCCTGTAATGGGTAAATTAATGGTGTAAGGACCCAGTTTCAACGTTCTCTTTGCCAAGCAGTCTTCTTTGATTGCCCAAGCCAGAAAGGTACTCTCCTTCCTATGAGTTCTCCTAGCACTGTTATTATACCTTTCCTATTTATGCAGCATGCACCAGGTACACCCAAACACGTTAATGTCAGAAAAAAAATCTTGTATTTTTGTGCCTCATTTTTAAAATTTGTATTTTTAAAATTTGCTTATTTTTTAAAAATGGAGCTTAGTTTTTATTTCTTTGATGAATAAAAATGTTGTAGTACTTAATATTCTCCTTAAAAATAAAAAAAATTCCTTAGTTACATACCCATATACATTTTGTATCTGTCTTTTCTCCCCTTTTGTTGTTGCTCATTTGTAGCCTATTCTTTGTGACCCTGTGTACCTTATTATCCATGGGATTTTCTTGGTAAAGATACTAGAATGGTTTGCCATTTCCTTCTTTAATGGATTAAGATAAATAGGTTAAGTGACTTGCCCAGGGTCACATAGCTAGTAAATGTCCAAAGATGGATTTCAACTCAGATCTTCCTGGCTACAAACCCAGAGCTCTATGCACTGAACCACCTAGCTGCTTCCTTTAACTCCCTTACTAGATTATGAATGCCTTAAGGCAGGGACTCTTTCTTGTTTTTCTCTTTTTCCCCCAGTGCCCTGTACCATACTGCCTACAAAGCAGACAACTAATTGTTGAATGCATGAAGGGAAAAATGAAGAGATTTGGATTTGATTAGCCCTTATCCAAATGATACTGAAATATGACTATTATGATGTCAAATTTGATTTACTCCATTTCCTCTTCAGTTTTAAAAAACACCATGTCATGTGAGAAATTTGTGAAAGATACAAAGGAAAAATAAATTATGGATACACACACACACACACACACACACACACACTAAACATAGGACATTTTAATAATCTGTTCATTGTGATTAGTTAGTATGGAGGGCAGTTTTAATTCCTATGATGAAAGGAAGCAATTTCAGCAGAGCATGGGCCAACTTCTTTGTCTTAAGCCACCAAATTCACTGGCCGACCCACATTTGGTGCACACATTGTAGGGATCAGCTGTTCCTTACTGACAGGGGCATTCCTAGAATTACATACTTTTGACTCTCAGCCAGTTCACTTTCTCTGATGTCAGCATCTACTACTATCTAGGCAGAAGCCTTCCTGAGGAAATTCTTGTAATTACCTGTAGCTAAATTAGGACATGGATAGTTTCTTTCTAGTGACAATGGGGGGGGTGGAGAAGAGAAAAGAAGGGAACAGAAAAGACAAATTTTTAGGCATGGGAAAGAAGGGTGTATGCCTTTTTCCCAAACAGCATCTGACTCATTTTTTCACTCTACTTAGAGGTCAAAAAATAATCAAAAGCATTTCACTAAACATTTTAAATTGGTTGAGGAATTGATGTGGAGGGCTTTTGTGCTTTAATGTATACACAGATTTTGGTGGATCTTAATGACCCGAGAAAGGTAGTATTTCTAGAAGGAAAGAGGTTATAATCTTCTTGAGGACAGGAACCATATACTACGTACCAATTTTTACCCCTAAACACTTAGTGTAGTACTAAATACATAGTAACTTCTCAATAAATATGTTGAAATATTGTTGCAACTGGGAGAAGTGAGAGAAAGCATAGAGTATAAACACTTTGGGGAAAGCCACAAATGTGGAAATCTACCTCCCAAGGAGAATGAGGAACCCGAGAGACAGAGTTTCTGGGTAATCAATAATCAATTTATCAATTAGGCTAGCTAATAATCACTGAATTGGTGGTCAGTGGTTTCTCTCGGTAACCAAAGACAACTAATAGAAACACTGAATGCCTTAAATATTTTTTTTAAAGGGAATGCCCCTGACAGGAGACATCAACCCTGTTTGGACATTTAAATGAGGAGGTGAGCTTAAAGTCTTCAGCTCCTCTTGCTGAGAGCATGGCTTGATCATAGGTTTGAACTGCCTCCAGCAATCTAGATAGGGCAATCCATCTCCACACAGAACACTATGCTTGGTTTTCTCCTTCATGAGCTGGGTCACTCTAAACACCAATGGAGGGGTGCAAGGACAGGGGCTTATCCTCTCAGGGCAAGAATTTACCTAGATTAGATTCTGTTTATGCTTCAAACAGAAGTAAGGTCTCCTAGTTGGGTGGGGTCTTCTCAAGATTGAGGAGCAAGTACCCCAAGGATTAGAGCAGGAGTGAGGAACCTTCGGCCTTGAGGCCACATACGGCCCTCTAGGTCCTCAAGTGTAGCCCTTTGACTGAATCCAAACTTCACAGACCAAATTCCCTTAATAAAAAGATTTGTTTGAAAAGAGGTTCAATATGAATGTATATGTACAGCCTTATATCAAATTACACGCCCTTTTGGGGTGGGGAGAGGGGAGAGATGGGGAGAAAATTTAGAACTCAAAATCTTATGGAAGTGAATGTTGAAAACTAAAAATAAATTAATTTAAAAAATAAAAGGATTTGTTCTGTGAAGTTTGGTTTCAGTCAAAGAGCCTCAGTTAAGGACCTAGAGAACCACATTGGCCTCAAGGCTGCAGGTTCTCCACCCATGGATTAGGGCAGTCTCTTCTATTAGCCATGCCCTTCACAGATAGGCTAACTGGACTACAGGGGCTGGTTCCTGAATGAGGAAATAAAAAGCCTGGATCCTAATTAATAATGGGCTATTAATATAATAGAAAAAATAATCTCCATCACCCCCATATGCCTTTCCAAAATCATTCATTTCTATACATTCTAGTTACATTATTTCTATTGACACTGATGCTGACTCTCCCTATCCTATCTATTCTCACCTGTTTCTATTGCTTTCCAAATCTCTCAGACATACCTTATCTTTTCTATTCAGCTGAAAGATCTGGAAAGAGATTAAGATAGCTGAGAGATAGCTCTATGCAATAGCAAAGGAATGCCCTAGGAAATAGTAAGCTGGCAGGGTGGTCATCTCCTAAGGGTAGTTCCCATATAATCTGGTGAAACAATTCAGCCCATTCTGGATTTGGGATGTTTCCATTCTGTCATTGCACTGATGGGACTTCTGGGTAATGCTGATATCTGGCATTTAATTAAGACAGGCAGAATGATACAGTGACATATCATATTTTCACTTGTCCCAGAGCCAGAGTGTGTCTCACCTGAATGAGAGCTAATGACTGTCATATCATGACATGCTTAATGAAGGGGCTAGATGCTAGGGTGAAGACTGGTCAGAAACAACTGAATGTTTACTTTTCTGTCCTTGGCTTTTAGAAAAAGTGGGTTTGTTTGTTTGTTTGTTTTTATTTAACCTCTCTTTAAATCAGTTTCCTTCTTTGTAAAACTGTGATATCTGTAGAATGAAATGATGTATACTCTTTGGGTAGCTTAAATCACTACATAAATATTAGAATTAGCAAGATAGAGTCAAATGCTTTGATGCATCCCTTCATAGAGATTTCTTCTCTGTGTGACAATCCCAGGATGTTAATGGAAATCTCTAGTGACTTCCTAATGTTAATGGGATCCAGTACTCTTTAATTTTCATTCAAGCTTCCAGAAAATTAAACTTAACTGTTATGAGGCAGCTAAGTAGCACGGTATTAGGAAGACAGGAGTTCAAATTTGACCTCAGATACTTAACTAGCTATGTGACCCTAGGCAAGTCACTTAACTTTGCTTTCCTCAATTTCCTCATCTATGAAGTCAGCTGGAGAAGGAAAAAGCAAACCACTCCAATATCCTCCCAAGAAAACCCCAAACAGGGTCATGGAGAGTCAGGGCATTACTGAAATAACTGAACAACAAAACTAATACACTGGATGATAGAGTAAAGATCCCAAAATATTCTGACAGGTCTGGAAATTGGGATGAAACTAAGCACAGCATCTAAAAGAGATAAATGTAGTTTTGGACTTGGTTTGAAGAAACTGACTTCATCAATTCAATATAGGTGAAGCACAGGTAGATAGAAGTTCATCTGAAAAAAGTGATCTAGGTGGGGACAACGGTAGGATTTGTTGTTGGCAAGTTATTTTTCAGTTGTATATGACTCTGTGACCTTGTTTGGGGTTTTATTGCAGAGATACTGGGGTGGTTTGCCATTTGCTCCAGCTCATTTTGCAGATAAGGAAACTGAGGCAAAGAGGTGAAATGACTTGCTTAGGGTCACATAGCTAGTAAGTGTCTGAGAACAGATTTGAACTCATAAAGTTGAATTCTCCTGACTTCAGTCCTGGCACTCTATCCATTGTGCCACCTGGTTGCCTCTAGTTCCTATGGGATGTAGCAACCTAAATAGTTAATGCAATCTTAGGCAGCCTTAAGAGGAGTAAAGGTCCTAGGAATGGGGGGACATAATAGTCCCATTATACTTCCTTCATCAAATGAAATCTGTAGTGTTGTGTACTCACTTAATGTTTGACCATATTCTTACATCATCTTCTGGTCTATATCTCTCTATTCCAGAAAATTAGCATGAGATAGTGCTGTGCTAAAATTTAGGTAAACTAACTCTAGCATTCTTTGGAGAAGATCCAGAGGATCTGTAATAATAAAGAACCTTAGATCCTTGTGATCAGAGAGCTAATTAAGGAATCTGGGGATGTTTGATCTGGAGAAGGGAAGATTGGGGGGCAAGGAAAGGCTGTCATGTGAGAATTGGGCTTGTTTTGTGTGGCACCAGAGGGCAGAATCAGGAGCAAAAATAGAAGTTGCAAAGAGTCCACTCTAGGCTTGATTTCTAGGGGGAAAAATATTCCTAACATTTTGTACTATCCAGATGTGAAAGGGGTTACCAGAATTTCCCCTTCCCTGCTGGTTTTCTTCTTTCTTTTTTCCTTCCTTCCTTCCTTCCTTCCTTCCTTCCTTCCTTCCTTCCTTCCTTCCTTCCTTCCTTCCTTCCTTCCTTCCTTCCTTCCTTCCTTCTTCTTTATATTTCGGTTTCCTCTTTAATGGTAATTTCTTTTTTTAAAAAATTATTTATTTTATTCTGAACTTAAGAAATAAAACAAGCATTTCCATAACATTGAAGAATAGAAAAAAAAAGATGATTGTACATGAAACTACAAAGCTACTATATACAACTTGTTATGAACTAGGTTGTAATGGGGATTTTTGGGGATAGGTGGGTAGGAAGGTTGTATTTTATAACAGCTAAGTTCCCTTCTAATTTTAAAATTCTATGATTTGATTGTAGATGGTATATGTAACTAAAAGAAACTCCCGTGTGTACCATGGAACACAATAAATTAGACAAAAATCTTTTGTGCCATAATAGTGGACAAATCATATTTTTGTTTTGTTTGTTTTTGTCCAAAAGTCATGTGTGCAAAGAGCCTGTCTCCAAATGCACATCAGAAAGTTTATGGGTCAAAGAATAATAATTATTATTATTTGTCATTCATTGCTAAAATGAACAAAAATGTTTTAAAGAGGGGGTATTCATAGTTAAGAAATTCTTGACCAGTTTTTAAGTTACCTCTTTCTACAAAAGGTCAAAATAAATCCAGAGGCTACTTAATTGTCAAATTAGTTTCACAACCATTTCATAGAATAAAATTAACACGCATTCATGTTAGCAGATGTTTGCTAAAAAAAGTCATTATTCTGAGGCTCAGAGTTAATTTTAGGATCTTGTCTAAAGAGTATCCGATCTGAATTTCTCAATAACCATGAAATGGGATTTAAATTTTAAAATAACATGAAGCTGATTCTGAATATTGCTAATTCAATTCCATTGCACGTTTCTCCTGGTTACAAATAGCCTCCATTATGTGCACATCAATTGTGTGCACATTTCAAACTTGAAAAAAAATGGAATTATAGGCTGACTGAAAAATAAGAACCCATGCTAAGCAAGGACTTCAGGTTAGATGTTATCACTATGGCAACCATTAGTCATTATTATGTTGGGGAAAAAGAAAACTAGTGGCTTATTAGCATTCCTGTTTTTAACAGGCTAGCAGGCTACGTACCTTGCAGATCCAAGGCTACAATTGCTGTATCATCTTCTAATCCTTCAATCACCTCGCATTTGTATCTCCCATAATCCTCCAGGGTGATGTCCGTGATCACTAGGGAGGCATCGTTGTCACTGCCTCTATTCAAAAACACTCTCCCCTGGTAGCTGCCATACGTTTTCTTGTGGTATCCCATGGAAACAAAAACATCTATTTCCTTGAGGTAATCTGAAGTGAGCTTGGTCCACTTGACTCGGATTTTGTGGGTTCCTGAGCCAATAGTTGATGGGTCACGGTAAAATTTACATGGCAGTGTGACGTTGCCACCCCGGTGTGAGAAGACTTTTGCCTGCTCTGCTTCCACCAGTAGACGGGGGCCATTTTCTGCTGTTATTCAAAAGAAAAACAGAAGTGCCTCATTAATCCATTGTTACAGTTTCATAAAATGGAATTTGGCATGCCAAATACTAAACAGAAGACAGATTTGGATGATCAGCTTCTAAATTGTAAGCTACGGTCACTCATTCAATTCAAGTCAATTAAACAATTGCACACCGTCCATTGAGGGAGATACAAAGTTTGGATAACACACAGTCCTTTCCTTCACGGAGCTTACAGACTTTGGTTCATTAATGTATAGCTCAGAGGGATCTTAGAGGTCACCTAGTCCAACCCCCTCAATTTAAAGATGAGGAAACAGAATCCCAGGGAAAAAAATGAGTGCTCAAGGTTGAATAGGCAGTAAAGAGAAGAGTCCAAATTAGAATTCAGGTCCTTCAACTCTATGTCCAAGGCTCTGCGCCATGTTGCTTCTCATTTTTTTGCACATTGTTCTCATCCTGGTCCACTTCCCTTTCTGGGCCAATTCCCTCCCCTGATATTTGACTCTGTTTACATCCTCCCTCAGCAATAAATGCTTGGCAGGCATGTCAGACCTAAGAAAATTAAAAGGCAGGTTGAAGACATGAACCTGTGGTTCACTTTTTCTTCCTCCTTTGCCCCCTTTAAGAGGGAGAGGAAGTAGAATGAGGAGGGGATTGCACACTTACTTATGAATATTCTGTATTTGTGTTACATGCATGTAATTAGATTTTTAGCTCCTTGTAGGCAGGGACTGTATTTTTTCAACTTATATTCCTTGTACCTAGCACACAGGCTCACCTTATACTTTCTATAGCATAAAGAAGGCAAATAAAAGGATATATTTATTGAGACTCCTTTTACTCATGGAAGACTACATACATGCATGTAGCTAATATTTACTTCATATGTTTACTTTAAGTAATCTTGGACATTAAGAATAAATAATACTTAGGATTCTAAAATCATGGAGCTTGAAAGTCATATAGGTTCAACTCTTTACCATTTGTTTTCTTAAATTTTCAATATTAAAAATGTAAAGGATATCGCAAAGAAGTAGAGTCAACAGGTGGGTTAGGGCTAAGTAGCTGTTAAAAGTAAGCAAGAAAAATAAGCTGATCCTTTTCATCAAAACAGGATCTTTAGTATAATTTTGTGAGGTATCTAGCAAAAGTGTGAAATGCAAATACTTGTTTTCATAATGGTGTGCTGGACTAAGAACTCAAAGCATTAACCATCACATCACAGTCACTTACAGTCTGTTATAAACTTTCAGAACTTTGTGAGACATACCACGGGATATTAGCCACATGCATCACTTTGCACAGGAATGCAAAGTGTCAGTACCAGAGAGCTATTTAAAAGGAATGATTTTGGCACAAATATTTTAAAAATACAAAATGGGTTTCTCAAATTTTGAGGCCAAAGTCTATGCAAAACTAAATTCATGTCTGGGTTTCTGTATTCCTTGATCCATTCTTTCATTCCCTCTAATCCTTAATCTTCGGAGTGTTGCCAGTTTCTAGAGTCATCTAATCTCTATCATCTCTTGTTTTTGTTCCCCTTATTTTCATTCATGCATCCTTGGTTCAAGGTCTTAACTGCCTTCAAAAGAGACTCACAACTCTGCAGTCTGCAACATCAGCAGGTCTGCAGTTTTCTGGAAAGGCAGCAACTGCTGTCTTCAGATCCTGGCCTGCCCTGGAGTTTCCCCTGGTGAGCAGCACTACAGAATGTGCTTTGTGCTCTGACCTTGAGAAGGCCCCTTGAGGATGCACAAGGTATGTAGATGAAAAAACTGTATAGGAACTCCTGTACGCATTCTTCCTTTGTTCAGGCAAAGCTTTCCAAAGCCCACAAGGCTCACTTTCAGCCAAGTCTGCCATCGTCCTTGCTGTCTTAGGTCATTAGAACTCTTGAGGAACGCTGAGCACTTAAGATACCAGAGACACTACAAAGTGGCAGTCATTCTCCTTCAGAGAGTTCTTGAAGTGAGACTATTTAATTGTACACCTCTGACTTACCAAAAAAAAATACATTTATATATACCAGGTGTAATATATTCCTATACCAGGCAGATCAAACATAAAACAAAAGAAAACAAACCCCAATGCTACATCTCACATATTAGCAGCCATTTGTCCTCAGTGCATGGGAATGCATCTTCAGATGAAGGGATCAAAGCCTTAGAGATGGAAAGGACCTTTGAGGTCGTCTAGTCTAGTGCTCTCCTTTTGCAAGTTAGGAAACTGAAGCCCAATCCAGCTAAGTGGCTTTTGGCCAAGGTCACATGAGTAGCAAATGGCAGAGCCAGAACTTCAACACAGGTTTTCTAACTCCAGATTCAACATTCTTTTATTCAGTACATGACTGAAATCATATGACCATAAATCTAGCTAATCTTCATATTCTAAATGGACTCAACTTTCTCTTTGGACTTCTCTTTTTTGTTCATTCTTTCTATTTCTTCTTCACCTATCTCTTTGTTATATTTCTGCTCTCTCTAATAGTGACAAGAAGGAGAGGTAGTGGTAGGTACTATGAATTATGTATTCTTTGCCCTGACAACACTTTTACCTGAGGCAAAAACAGGTGGGAATAGTGACTATGCAGAGAACAATCTTGGTACAGATGTGTGGGGTTGATTTCCCACCATTGGGGAATGAGGAACAAGGTGGGCCCTAGCAAAGCAATGTTATGGTAATGGTGCTCTGGGAAGGGTAGTCCTCTCCTGGGGTTCACTTTCTTCTCCAATTCCTATGGGGGTGAGGGGCAAATTGCCATGTCTCCTGGCAGGATCGCATATGGCTGTCCTGAGGGCAGCTGCAGAATGCCTAGGTTGGTAGTGTACCACGAGGTAAAGAATGGGAATACCAGCTGGTGTGGAGAAGAAACAAACCATGGTGAGGAAAAGGTATGCCCTATGGGACAAAATCCTATTCACTTCATGATGGTCACCACTTTGGAAACATTTCTGTTCTCAGAAGGAGAACAGAACTTCCTACTTGTGTGAGGAACTGAATATAAACATGGGACCAAGTCATAGAGTGGCCAATTCTATAATTTCCTTTTTAGTCATCTAATTTAGAACCAAATTCAGTGCCCATCTATATGAATGTACCTTCTCAAGAGCCTGATAGCATCTATCTACTCCACATGTTTCGTTTCATCTCTGAATATCTTAGTTTGCATTATTTTAACTAGAAGCCATCTCAATACTTCTTGAAAACAGGCAGGCAATAAATCTTCAGTAAAACTAAACTGGTTATTTAGTTATCTGACTGAGCTTTATAGAGGATTCTTCATTCATTCAAACATGTATTGATTACTTAGTATGTGAAGAGACTCTAGGTGCAAAGGTGCCACAATCATAGGGGAGATAAAACATACACACCAATAACTATGGTACCAGGTAGGTCATGGGAAGAGTCAAGGAGGCGCAAACAGGTTGCCATGAGACAAACCTATGTGTGACATAGGTTTGAATCCTGCTTCTGGCACTTGCTTATTGGTTGTATGACCATTGGTTAGACAGTTCTACTCTCTGAGCTCCTATTTCCTGATCCATAAAAAAGGTGATAATAGCAACTGCAGCAACTACCTATGGATGAGACACAGTATGTAAACTTTTTTTTTGTAAGTCTTGGCATGGTAGGAATTACAAAATGGTCAGCTGAGTTAGGGCCTTGGTGAATAGGTAGTGTTTGAACAAGGAGGGATGGATGGATGGGCAGGATATACTGTCTTTTCCTGCACAAAAAAAGCCATAAGACTACATATGCACCCTTGAGAAAGTAATTAGAATCCCTTCAAAGGAGATGTTTTCTCAGCAAATATTCCCTAAGTAGTAGCTTGTCTACAAAAAACCTTAGCAGCTATTTGGTTTTCTTTGTGAGGTTCAGGGGGTCAATTGCACAAGCCCACTCACTTCCTAATCTTCACGGACTTTTTCTTGGTAGCTTAGTCTGACTTGGAGCAGGGACTTTGTACCTATTCCAGCCTTCCTAACGGAGCCCCCCACCCTAACCCCAATCTGTGCTCCCTGTGGGGATAATAAACACACATCAAGTGAAAAAAAGAACAGTCAGAGCCTGGAAAAATCAGTGTAGGAGTTGAGTAATAAAAGCATGTCCTGGTCCAGCTAAAAGGTATTGATGTTTTATTTATAAAGAATAATAAATAACTTTAAACAAACATGGCACATTATTGCAAGGGACTGAAACATCTAATTTTTTCTGTGGCAAAATCAAAGAGGATTTATCATTGTTTATAGTATTCTAGAAATGACCAAATCTCCTTTTGGAGGTCCTACCGCTTTGAACACCTCCTGTTCTGAGAAAGGAAAAACATATCACATGACAGTCTTTTGCTTCTACATTTGTAGTGAGAAAGTAGATGTTCTCATGAAGGCATGAAGGTAAAGCATTGAATCAAGTTATCTCTATAGTTGGAGGTCTTGGGTTTTAGTATTGATGTTGGATAGTTCCAAAGGGCACCCTGTTTCCCAGATAATTATAATGAATGATGTGGATACAACTTCAAAGAGTTTCAAAATAGATTCCTCAAAATGTGAAGAGCAGGCAGCCTGGGCAAAATTAGCTGGGCCCCACAACCTGCCTACTGCAGTACTTGAAATTCTTCTCGAGACTTCGTTCTTTTGTATTAAGTCACAATGCATGTCTAGAAGTTGTAGTATTTGTTGAAATAAAAATACACCCAGGAGGAATACTGCCTTAACCTACTATCAGTCATAAAGATAACCAGATGAATTTGATTTAAATGTTCAAATAAAATGATTGTTATCAATAGGATGGTTATAAAACCTTTGAAGTGTGAAAAAACAAAATCAACCTTTATGCTAGAGAAGAGAATGATTAAATTTCCCTTTAAAAATTATAAAATGTAAAACTAACTGTGATACAGGTGAATGCTTTCCCAAGTTACCTTCCAGTACCAAATAATGCATACAGGCACTTGAATAATATCTTATCATAATTGTGATCAGAAAGGCCACTGAGATTCCAAAT